GTTTGTAACATAACGTACTAGTGTACGAAAACAAATGTATGTGTTATGGTTGTAAAAGTTGAGACAAGATGCAGACCTACTTTGACCATTCACATGTGTTAAACGTTACTTTTGCCTGGCAGGGCTCATTAACCCCACGTGGGGTAATACAAGGGTGTGTCCAGAAGGACCAATTTTGGTTATTTTGTTTTCATTAAATGTAAAAAGCTAAGTATTGATATAACCTCGTATAATTACACTGCTGGAAGTGACTCGAAAACAAGGCACATAATGTTGTAGATTCTAACAGGTTGTTCAGTTCGCTTTGGATTGTTGTGGAATTTACTTGTTTGTTAGTGTTAGTTTATTTATTTAGTGGTCATTTCATAAAAGACTATTACAATAAGGACAATTAGTAGTGTGATAATGCATTCTAGTAGGGTTCTTATTCAACCGTCAGTTGGTGGTGAGTTACATTACCAATGCCTATTGTATAATTCGAAACGTCGCTGTCATCAGTGTTGCATTGAAGCGAATGGCGAACAATTTAAACATTTTTTATAAAAGGTACGCATTTCTTTTTCACATTTACCTTTTCTTTACAAGGTGGAAGTGCATTCGGCTTCTTCCCGGGAGGTACTTGTTACATCCACACTAGATCAGCTGAGCGACGTTAGTCGCCTAGATCCAGGTCCGTAATGAAACAAATTGTACGTTCAAATTTACAAAGACGATTTGCGATTATTTAAATCGTTAGAACTTTCTATTTGCACTATTATTTTTGGATCGCATCCTGTACCTATATTTGCCAATCATGAACTTTTCATGTAAACGAGAGCGCATTTAATGATGATGAAGCAGACAATCTGCATCCGGTGCCAGTGTCCGATTTTTAATTCTGACTAATAACACGTTAATTTATCGCCGGATAAGCAAAAATTTGATGAGCAATCAAATTGAACAAGAAAAAAACTGACCGAAAATGAACGGTAATTTTACAAACGAGCTTATGCATGCAACCTTTTTTTGAATATCCACCTACACTAATGATGTAAAATACTATCAATTTCTGTCAAATATGCATCTAACTAATTCTCAATATTCTAACTCTTAAGCTTCTTTACTCCTTAATGTTGCTGGCTGCAATTATCGTTGATTAAGTCACAATATTAGTTACAAATTCCAAATAATTTAACTAACCATTATGACCATTTCACCACACACTATACGAGGGTGGATTGATAAGTTTCCGGCCTAAACAAGAGATGACGCCACTAGGCCTACCTTGAGGTGACATTCTATAGTACCATCCTTGGATAGCTTGTAGCTATAGTTTCAGCCCGATCTCCTTGCTAGTGTAGGTTTGACAGCACGCTGAACAAGACGCCTCTGTGGTTTTCGTAAAAATGGAAAAGCAGGAAAATCGTGCTGTCATCAAATACTTTTATTTGAAGGGGTTAACGCCGAAGGAAATTAAAAAAGAGATGGACTCAACACTGGGGACATCCTCCCCGTCATATTCAACCGTTAAGCAGTGGGTTTCCGAGTTTAAAAAGGGTCGTGTGAGCACCTCTGATGGGCCTCGCTCAGGACGCCCCGTTGAGGTCACAACTCCAGATATGATCGAAAAAATTCATCAAATAGTGCTGGGAGACCGCAGATTGAAAGTGCGTGAGATAGCTGAGACCTGTAAGATGTCATATGAACGTGTGCAACATATTTTGCACCAACATTTGCATATGGAAAAGCTCTGTGCAAGATGGGTGCCGCGTTTGCTAACAGTCGACCAAAAATTGATTCGAAAAAACATTTCTACCGCAAATTTGTCATTGTATAAGCGTAATCCAAGCGAATTTTTGCGTCGATTCGTAACCGTTGACGAAACGTGGGTCCACCACTACACTCCTGAAACCAAAGAACAGTCTAAACAGTGGATTGGACCAGGGGAACCAACTCCAAAGAAGGCAAAAACAATTTTTTCGGCGAACAAGGTTATGGCTACTGTTTTTTGGGATGCAAGAGGTATTATATACATTGATTACCTTGCAAAGGGTAATACTATCACTGGTCAATACTACGCAGACTTATTGCAACGTTTGAGCCACGAGGTGAAAATTAAACGACCTCATCTGGCGAAGAAAAAAATCTTGTTTCATCACGATAACGCACCAGCGCACACGTCAATCGTTGCGACGGCTAAAATCAACGATCTAAAGTTTGAATTGATGCCGCACCCTCCTTACTCTCCAGACCTAGCCCCGAGTGACTATTTTCTGTTCCCTAATCTCAAAAAATGGCTTGGCGGTAAGAGATTTGCGGACAATGAAGAAGTAATCGAAGCTGTAAATGGTTATTTTGAGGAGCTTGACGAATCAGTCTATAGAGATGGCATTAATAGACTGGAACACCGCTATGAGAAATGTATCAGCCTTGGAGGAGATTATGTTGAGAAATAAAAAAAAAAAATTTTTAAAAACCTCGTTTTTCTTGGTCAGGCCGGAAACTTATCAATCCACCCTCGTATAACTGAAATTGTGTGTTTCGTATCAATTAAAATCGGTTTCGGTTCAATATCACAAATTAAAATCATAAAAACTTTTCCCCGGCGCATCCACCATTTTACTAAACTGCCACTGTGGGGTTTTGAATGACAACAATTAATAACTTGGATTGTTTGTTTTGAAATTCTGCTAAGAATTTTACAGCCATCTTCGTAAAAAATTATACGATTTTTGTTACTTTCACAAAGAACTGTAAATAATTTGAAAATTAAAGATGTATATAGGGATCGTAGCACCTTCGAAAGAGAAAAAAATTCTGCATAAGGCTATGAAAATACATACAGGGTGTTCTATTTGAAAGTTAATCAAATCGGCCATTACACATCTAACACCTTCTATATGACTGATCCACTTTTATAAGTTTATATGAACGGGAAGCTTGAGGATACAGCTGTCTTTTCTGAGAACATTGTTTGTCTAGGTTTCCTACTGTAAACTTAATATCTCAGAAACGGTAAATTTTAAAAAGAAGAAAACGTTGTGAAAGTGAACCTAGATCATAAGTAGAATACAAAACCATCATCAAGCAGTTTTCGAAATATTCTAATGGGTGCTCACCGCGAGACACCCTGCATATGTTACTGTTAATATATTTACATGGTTACTGTCTAAACTAGCTAGATATTGGACAGTATACTAAGTGTCCTAAAGTCTGGTTTGACGGAAATATTCAGGATCATAAGGTTACATTAGGAGAAACCACTTTTGTCGTTGGCATATATTTCATAAAAATGAATACGCTGATATTTACGATTAAAATGCTGAACTTGCTGATTTGATTATGAATTGTTTCAGCGTATATATAAAGACAATCTCCACCCTGACAGAGGAAGGGGTGAAGATGGTACAGCTAGTAACTAACTAGTTTTTAAATATTATTTGAATATTTGTGTATAGGTGTAAGCGTGACTACAACTATTTTTCAAGATATCCTTACGTACAAAGAGTCGATACACTAAACTTATACCTAAATTACCTGCATACGATATTTGGATAAACCAACAATATTGACAATATTTAAATTTCCAGATTAAGGCTTAAAGGAAAAGGCAGGTAAATGTACCTGTAAAATATACCTACATTAAAATAAAACCGTTTCGAGAATCAACACAAAAAACACCCTGCAACCGAAAACCGAAGTATATCACTAAAGTAGTTGATTAATGAAAATGACCCAACGAGAAGCAGAATTAAAATACAATCGACTTACCAAATCTGAGCAACATAAAGTCTTCCCCTTCTGGTAGGTACTCGAATTAGCGGCACTTTCACACGTTTACGAAACTTTCGGACTTTTCACTTTATTCGCGGTTTGTTTCCGTACGCGCACTACTATTTTGTCCTTTTCGACGATAACACTACACTTTCGCGAAAATACCGAATGACACTTCCTATGTAGGGGTATAAAATAAATACATATAGGTACATATCACAATATGTAAAAAGACAAAACAATAATCACATATTATACACAGAAGTAAAGAATGCGCCTATAACGGTAGGTAATAATAGTTAATTGATACCAATGTCCAATTAACAAAGCTCAAAAATATGATCCTCAATTTTAAATCAATATTTAATGTAAAGTAGAAGTGTTAAATTTTAACTCAATTTTGTNGTACATCTATTCACAATGACTGTTTCAAGGATCAAAAGCAGTGGGACAATAGACATACAAATTGCAATATTATTTTAGTTATCGTAATATAATTTCAGCTGTCACTCTGGGCCTGTCAGAAACTGGGCCTTTTACCTAAGTTTTAAAATTAGAAAAGATTGTCGAATTTTAACTAGAAAATTATTAAAAATACAGTGTGATGAATAAATATAGAATAAAAGCAACTTTTCCGTTTTGCAATAAGAAAGAAGAAGGCGCATATAAAAAAGTCAATAACTGAGATACATCGATTAATCGATCACTTACCGGCCCAGGTTCGTTATGATGAGGCTACTTAAATTCTCCATGAAATACGATCGACCCGTTCTATTTTCCTGTTTTCTACATCCGGTCGCCTTAAGAGGTAAACGGCGGGTGCAAGCGGAAGGTAGGAACCCGTTAAAAACCTGGAAAGACAGCCGTGATTAATTTAGGTGCTTTCGAATTCCTTTTGGACGTTGCTAAATGAAACTTGTCGTCGCAGTTAATGATCCACGAAATTGGGAAAGGTAAGACCTTGATCCCGTTCACAAGGTTGCTTTTCCGACAGTTCTATACACACGTAGATATTTACACACACATTCGTTACATCGACCCGGAAAAAGTCCTTTCGTTAAACGAAAAGAAATTGAAAGCATTTACATTTTTACGTATGCACTTTCTCAAAAATGCCAAAGGGACTTTAAACCAATCTTAGCAAAAATAACAGCAGACAGTAAGACGACACTAACGTAAAAAAATTAAATTACCGCAAACAGAGCTTTACAATATTTGAAACTATTAATGCTTGAGGGTGATACAAAATTATGACAATAACAAATTATTGACGGTGTATCGCCATCTATTGATATTTACTGCTACTGTGGATATGTTTCAACTTCCCAACACAATCTAAGACACTGCATATATACGACCCGTAGGAAAAATTTCCATTGAAGTTCAATGGGAATCAATGGAAAATTTGTAAATTCCATTCAAAACCATTTGGCATAAATGGAAAAATAATTGTTTCCATTTACAATATAATTCCTGGCCACATATACTATTAGCCTTTTTCGATACAGTTTTTGCTTGCCCAGGTGCAAGAGTAGTGATATTGCCAATTAGGTGGTGGAAAATCAATAATCTAGTTTTACCTATGCGTGCATGTTGGGGGTACGTGAGGGACCACCACGGCAGTAGAGTGAGAGACAAGCAAGGTAGTAAGATGTTTGATTAAAACGGTATATTTCATTTAGACGTTGAGCATTTTTGCTCAAAAAAGACGGAAGACGTATTTATGGTGATTACACGAAGACGTATGTATTTTGGAAGACGCGATACATTGAATATTGTATATAAGTTGTATATATTTAGTTCCTGTTTGTTACTCGTTTTGCTGTTTGCTGTTTATATTCATTATTATGTTTATTATATATGTATTCAACTACCCGGAGCCTTTTATTAAACAACCCCTAGACAAGTGAAAAAGCCTACATTAGAAGCATTGTTTGATGATTTTGAACCATGCCAGAATATAGAGGAGGCCGAAGTCATCTGTGAGAGTGATGTAGTTTTATCAGAAGCAAGTGAAAAAAAATCTAAACACAATGATGAAGAGCCAGACATCCAGGCACGTGCCTTGGTTCAGGTACCTGAAGAACCAAATTCTCAACAAAATAATATGGATTATGGAAAAAAGCATGCTGATGAAGTTCCAATGGAACGCAATGGAATTTCCATTGCTCAACGCAATGGAATTTCCATTGAGTTCAGCAATGGAAATCCCATTGAGTTCGGGAATGGGAATCCCATTGGCAATTCTCCATTTATTACCATTAATTATTATCAGTGGTAATTAAATGGCCTTTTATAATGGAAATTGAATGGAAATTTTTCCTACGGGGAGACAATAAACACACAAACCAATTGATAAAAAATAATAAGATCTTGGTTAGTAACTAACTGAAACTACTACACATCAATGGCGATTCCGCTTTGTAGGGATTAGACAGGTCCAGAGTTGTAACCTCCTGGAACTTGTAGTACTAGCGGCTTCAGTTTCCGCTCAATCAGAAACAAAATAAATTGGGGGTGTTGCCACATTAAACCAATTTTTCGTTCACACCAAAGATTTTCTTGTTCGCTATATCGCTGTTCAAATGTTACCAACTGTTTCGTTGCAAACAATTGGCGAGTACAAAATATGTATTAGACTTTTGTTGTAGTTGTAATAAATAATTGTCGGTGTGGGATTCTCATTCGCATTTTACTCTATCTATTTCCTTGAGGTGACAATGACCCGCACAAATCTCGGTCTCTCCGACGAGGAGACAAAAGGCAAGGAGCTAATTAATAGAAATCATTAAGTCAAGATGGATATTCTAATAAGAGTGGTTTACAGTTGGCTGCAGATAATTTCGAGTGTTCGACTAAAGAGCAGAATTCAAGTCGAGAACTTTGCAATGTCAGGAACTCGGAAATTAACGTAAACGTGTAAGAGAAGGAGAGAGCGCGGTAGAAAAAGCATCCGAGCGCGAAAGGGAACGAGCTAGTCGAGAAGAAACTTCATAATCACTTATTGGGCCAATTTTCCCGAGTGAACTAATTGGCTAACTCGAGCTTAACCCCATCCGAATGGCGTTTATTTTGAGAAGTGGTCGTACTAACTATACCCGATCGCCACCATTAGCATTTGTAGACTTTCAACTTCTGTAATCATCGAAGAATTAACTCGAGCTTACTTCACATTACATCATCTTATCAATTAGACTTAATTGCACAAATTGCTAGACTGACAGCGGTCCAACCGCATTAGAAGAGAATAGAAAATTATTAAAAGCATAATTTACACACTATTTATTTTCTTATCCATGACAGTACTAGCAAATGAACAAAATTCTTACAATTTAGCCGATTGTAAACTAGAGATGACTCAGTCACTTCTGCCAGGCAAACGAGTGTACAGTGAGCGAGGATCTACATGGAAGTAGTCATATTTTCTTGACTGTTGGTATTGTTAGCTTCTTTACGAAGTTTATTGCTTCCTTTTGGTATTAAACAACCAGTAATGATGCAATAAAGTTCCCGTAGGTTCAATGGGAACCAATGGAAAACTTGTAAATTCTATTCAAAACCATTTGACATAAATGGAAAAATAATCGTTTCCATTTACAATAATTCCCCGTAGGAAAAAATTCCATTGAAGTTCAATGGGAATCAATGGAAAATTTGTAAATTCCATTCAAAACCATTTGGCATAAATGGAAAAATAATTGTTTCCATTTACAATATAATTCCTGGCCAGATATACTATTAGCCTTTTTCGATACAGTTTTTGCTTGCCCAGGTGCAAGAGTAGTGATATTGCCAATTAGGTGGTGGAAAATCAATAATCTAGTTTTACCTATGCGTGCATGTTGGGGTACGTGAGGGACCACCACGGCAGTAGAGTGAGAGACAAGCAAGGTGGTAAGACGTTTGATTAAAACGGTATATTTCATTTAGACGTTGAGCATTTTTGCTCAAAAAAGACGGAAAACGTATTTATGGTGATTACACGAAGACGTATGTATTTTGGAAGACGCGATACATTGAATATTGTATATAAGTTGTATATATTTAGTTCCTGTTTGTTACTCGTTTTGCTGTTTGTTGTTTGTTGTTTATATTCATTATTATGTTTATTATACATGTATTCAACTACCCGGAGCCTTTTATTAAACAACCCCTAGACAAGTGAAAAAGCCTACATTAGAAGCATTGTTTGATGATTTTGAACCATTCCAGAATATAGAGGAGGCCGAAGTCATCTATGAGTGTGATGTAGTTTCATCAGAAGCAGGTGAAAAAAAATCTAAACACAATGATGAAGAGCCAGACATCCAGGCACGTGCCTTAGTTCAGGTACCTGAAGAACCAAATTCTCAACAAAATAATATGGATTATGGAGAAAGGGATGCTGATTAAGTTCCAATGGAACGCAATGGAATTTCCATTGCGTTCAGCAATGGAAATCCCACTGAGTTCGGGAATTTTTCCTACGGGAATTAAATGGCATTTTTTAAAGGAAATTGAATGGAAATTTTTCCTACGGGTTTGCTCGAGATTTTCACTCATAATCACTAAGTTGGGACATTGTGTGAATGAAAGCCTTTCGCAACTCAGTTTCAAATTTCCCGAATAAGAGAAAAGAGACCAAAGTACGGCCAAAAAATAATGTAAAGGGTGCAGCGACGGCAGCGGAAGTGACGATGGCGGTGGTAACTGGGCAGTGTGACGGTGCGCCATGCGCGCGGTTTCGCCACCGAATTTTCATTATCGTGCGGTGAAATATAGAAGTGGTCTGATGAAAAAGAGAATGTGGAATTCATATCCGGACCGCGACATTATGCCCGGGGCGTGCAGCTGGAACTGTCGTTTTTCACCCGTTATTTTCATCAGGAGCGCTGCCGATTTCTTACCTAAGAAAATATTTCCAGCGCCACGGCCGGATATTGAATATTTCGCGGTGGCGAGAGACTGCGATAACGCCAATATTTGCCGAACTTGCATCAAACAAACGGAGCGACAATGACGACAGCTGTGTTAAGTCAGCGACCTTTTCCTTCTTTCGCCGGTTAATATTGCAGAAAAGAAATGGTTTTCTTCGATTTATTTCTTCGATTTCATATGACTTCTAAAAACTTTGTTTATAGAACCAGCTGCAGTGGAGATGGAATTGGTGTAGTAGTAAATTATTTCAATTAAGCTATTCGAAACATTGGTCTATATTATTCCACTAAATCTTCGACTTGGATCGGTTTTAATACATGAATAATGACTTGAGTTCGGTGTTAGTACCTATATCATGGCAATAATTTCAACTTCCCTTTACAAGTGACATACCCTCTTTAAGCAAGGCAGGAATCACTTGAAGACGACCCACGGCCAACTGGCCGATCGAGGTGACCCCTCCGGAAATCATTCAAAAAGTCGAAAAATAAATACTGGAAGATGCCCGACTTAAGAAGAGACAGCTCAGAGAAATGGTAGGAGTATCAGATACAACCATTTTTAAAATTCTTCACAATCATCTTGGGATGACTAATGTCAGCGCCAAACAGGAGCCGAGAAAGCTCACTAAAAAACAACAGCGTGTGGAGTAAGCGTAAGAAGTTTAAGGTGTCTCCATAATCGAAGAATACTATGCTTCAATCCTAGAGCGGTTAAAGGAAGCAGCTTCGAAATTTTGGTTCACTCACCCTACAGTCTTGACCTGACTTCCAGCGATTATTACCTATTCTCAAACTTGAAAAAAGTCTTCGTGGGAAGAAATTTTCAAGCGACGAAAAAGTGAATAATGCAGTTTCGGCGTATTTTTCAGACAGACAAAACATTTTGTTTCAAAGGTATACGTAAGTTAATTGAAAGATCGGAAAAATTTATA